AGCACTGATGCCGCGGGTTCGGATCCAACACCAAGCCAAGGGCTGCAATCCCCTTACCAGTTGAAAAAAAAAATAAATCATCTAAGATTCTAGATCTTTTTAATTTTCAAATACATGTATTTGATATTATAAATTTCCCTTTGAGCACTCCTTTTGCTTTATCCCACAAAATTTGGTAAGTTGGATTTTAATTTTCACTTATTTTAAAATTTCTCTTTAGAATTCTTCTTTGGCCTTTGTATTATTTAGAAGTATGTTATTTAATCTCCATTTTTTTTATTTTTCAGCTATTTTCCTGTTCTTGATTTCTATTTTGTTTCTATTGTTGTTTTAGAACAAGTTTATATGATTTATGTCCTTTCAAATGTATGAATGTGTGTTTTATAGTCCAGCAAGTGGTCTATCTTGGTGAATGTTCCAAGAAAATATCTTTTCATGTTTGAAAATAATGAGTTGCACTGTAGCAGTGCGCCACCGGGCTGGCCCCAGGATGAAGTATTTTGTAAATGTCAATTAGGACCAATTGATAGTACTGTCCAGTTCAAATATTTCCTTACCAAGTTTTTGCTTACTGAGTCTGCTAACTGCTGATACAGGGGTATTGAAGTCTTCAGCTATAATAGCTGATCCATCTATTTCTTCTTGCAGTTCTACTAGTCTTTGCTTTATGCATTTTAATGCTTTGTTGTTAGGTGCATACACATTAGGGATTGTTATGTCTTCTTAGAGAACTGACCTATTTATCCTTAAGTAATGCCCATCTTTTTCTCTGATATTCCTTGCTCTGAAAGTCTGCTTTGTCTGTAATATAGCTACTTTAGGTTTCTTTTGATTAGTGTTAGCATGGTATATTTTTATTCATCCCTTTGCTTTTAACCTGTCTGTATCTTTTAATCTGTCTGTAAAGTGGGTTTCTTGTGGACTAAATATAGTTGGATCTTGTTTTTTTATCCACTCTGACAGTCTCTATCTTTCAATGGTGTATTTAGACCATTCACATTTAACATGGTTATTGGTATAGTTGAATTAATATGTACCATATTTGTAACTGTTTTCTATTCATTGCCCTTGTTCTTTGATTTTTCTGTCTTCTACTTTTTTTCCCACTTTTTATAGTTTTAATTAAGAATCTTACGTGACTTAATTTTCTCACCTGTCTTAGCATATGAATTATACTTTCTTTTGAAATTATTTTAATATTTGCCTTACAGTTTACAATACACATTTGCAAGTAATTTAACTCCACTTTCAAATAATCCTCTTCTATTTCTTTGGTAGTACAAGAACCCAATAACTGAGTGTCTTAGCCTGTTTGTACTGCTCTAACAGAATGCCTGAGACTGAGTAATGTACAAAGAACAGAAATTTATTTTTTCACAGTTCTGGAGGCTGGGACATTCAAGATCAAGGGCTAGCAGGTTCAGTGTCTGGTGGGGGTTCATCTTTGTTTTCAAGATAGCACTTTGATGCATTCATCCTCAGGGGAGGAATGCTGTGTCCTCAGATGGCAGAAGGTGGAAAGACAATAGGGATGAACTCCCATCATCCAGACCTTTCATGTCACTTACTCCAGAGCGAGGGAGGAGCCCTCATAACCTAATTATCTCTTAATGACCTCATCTCTTAATATCATCACATTGGCAGTACTTGAATTTTGGAGGAGACACATTCAAACCATAGCATGGAGTATTCCCCCGTCCTCCCTCTTGTCTGTTATAACACTGCTCTCATTCACTTATCCATAAACTATATCACCCAATAATTTTTTGCTATTATTATTTTGAACATGCTATTATATGTTAGATCAGTAAAGAATAAGAAAAATTAAATATTTTATTTTACCTTCATTTATTCCTGCTCAACAGTCTTATTTCTGTAGATCAGAGTTTCTCACCTATGTAGTTTTGCTTCTCTCTTGAGAACTTTTAGCATTTCTTGAAAGGGCAGTTTCTCTCTTAAGAACTTTTAGCATTTCCTGAAAGGAAGATTTACTGGCACCAAATTCCCTCAATTTTTGTTTGTTTGAGAAGGTCTTTATTTCTCCTTCACTTATGAAGGATAATTTTGCTGGATACAGAATTCTAGGTTGATGGGACTTTTTTTTTTTTTACTATTTTAAGTATTTCACTCCACTTTCTTCTTGTTTGCATGGTACCTGAAGGTAAATATGATGTGATCCTTACCTTGTTCCTCTATAGGTAAAAATTTCCCCCGTCTGGCTTCTTTCAAGATTTTCTCTTTATTTTTGACTTTCTACAGTTTTAATGTGATACATGTAGTGCAGATTTTTGTATATTCATTGTGATTGGTGTTCTGTGAGCTTCCTGGATCTGGGGTTTGGAATTTATCATTAATTTTGGAAAATTCTCAACCATTATTATTTCAAATTTTTCTTCAGTTCCTTTCTCTCTCTCATTTTAGAATTTTCATCACACACATGTTACACCTTTCATAGTTGTCACACAGTTCTTGGATACTCTGTTTCTCTCTCTCTCTCTCTCTGCTTTTTAGTTTGGGAAGCTTCTATTGACATATTTTCAAGCTCACTGATTATTTCCTCAGCTGTGTCCAGTCTACTGATGAACCATCAAAGGCATTCTTCATTTCTGTTACAGTGCTTTTGATTTCCAGCATTTAATAGAGATTCTTTTGAAGAATATTCATCTCTCTGCTTATATTGCGCATCTGTTCTTGTATGTTGTCCACTTTTTTCCATTAGTGACCTTAGCATATTAATCATAGTTATTTTAAGGGTCTGTTAATTCCAACCATACCTGCCATCAGCCATGTCGCAATATTGCACAGTAGATAAAAGCACAGACTCTGGAGATAGATTGCCTGTGTTTTAATTCTGCCTCTGCTTATCAGCTATGTAATCTTTAGCAGGGTGTATAAATTCTCTATACCTCAATTTCCTCATTTGCAAAATGAGAATACTCATAAAAATCTACCTCATATAGATCTTACAAGAATCAAATGAGTTAACACATGAAAAGCACTTAGAATAATTTCTGTGCAAAGTAAGCATTCTATATGTTACATGATGAAGATATAGCCATTTGTAAAATGTGCCAGCAAATCCCACCTGAGGGCCTTTCCCCTTGCTTTCCGGTCTGTTTGGGATGCTTCCCCCAGATGCCCACACAACTGGCTTCCTCCTTCATTCAGTCGCCATACAAGTGTCACTACAGCAGTGAGACCTTCCCTGAGCATCACGTATAAACACACAGCCCTTCCACTGCTGCTGTTCCCCTTAATCTGCTTTATTATTTTTCTATAGCAAGTATGATGATCTGACATATTATATATTTTATCATATGTTTTATTTTTTGTTGTTGATTTTTAGCCTCCTTCAACTTGAGTGTAGGCTGCATAAGTGTGGAGTCTGTCTTCAAAATTTAAAAAACTAAAATGTTTTTAGGGCAGTTTTCTCTATATTCATATAAGGAAGTGCTGTGTAGCCCCTTAAATTATGTTTTCTAAAAATGTCAAATGACACTGGCAACTGTTTATGTAGCGCTATCACACCTGTGCAAAAGCAGCCATATGTAAGTATGTAGGACTTCCAGAGATCACCTGAACAGGTGAGGGCACACAAGTGTAGAGACGATGACACATGGCCTGTGCCCAGGTCTGTCTGAGCTCACTGTCCTCTTCCCTAAGCCGCATTAATATTTTTTGACTTTCTCTTTCAGTATGAATACTTCAACGCTGTGCTGATCAATGAAAGGGACAAAGACGGGAACTTTTTGGAGCTGGGGAAGGAATTCATCTTAGCCCCAAATGACCATTTTAATAATTTGCCTGTGAACATCAGTCTGAGTGACGTCCAGGTGCCAACAAACATGTACAACAAAGGTAAGACTCCTTGCTGCTGCTCCTTTTAGAGGACAAAGAGTTGGGGGTTTGAGGAGCAGGATCTGGCTGCTTTTGGATATAGTGGGGATTTTTCTGAAGAACACATTTACAAGCTGAGTGTCAAGCATCAGCAGGACAGGTGAAGTGTGTGCGCATTCTGCCCGGAGACTCTGGGCTTGTTTCCCCCGCTGGTGTTTACATCAAGCTCTCTACCATGTAGTCTAGGGGCTGGTAAAAGCCAAATAGTAAATGTCTTTAGGCTTTGCCAGCTATTCAGTCTCTGTTGAAAACACTCAAACCTGCTATTCTGGCATGAAAGCAGCTGTAGACAACATGTATGTGAATCAGTGGGCATCGCTGTGTTGCAATAAAACGTTTTATCTACAAAAAGAGATGGCCCGATTTACCCTGGAGGCTGTCATTTCCTGAGCTCCGGTGGAGTCCCCCTCTCTTCTTCCTCTATTTCCTGGAGTTCCTGAAGTTGCAATGGAATCAATTGTGGTCTTTTCTGAGAGATCAAAGCAGCACAGAGCTTAACTGGGTTCCCTGTTTCCAGGCCGTGTCCCTCAAATCCAATCTTCACGTGGACACTGGAGTGCTTTTCTTGAAATTTTCATCTGCTCATTTGAGTTGGGATTATTGTGGCCGAGGGCTGGGCTCTGACATCAGATGGCCTCTGGCTAGACCCTGCATTCTACCTATTTCTGGCTGTGACCTTGTGTACATCATCTTATCTATTTAGATCTTAGCCTCCTCATCTCTGTGATGTGGATAATAATTTTGTCTGCCTCATGGGGTGGGTGTGAGGACTCCACGAGATGATGTTTATAAAGGATTTGAGTTGCTGTCAACATCTTCATCCTCATCATTACTGAGCAGGAGTTTGCTCTATGTTGTCATATCTGAAAGGCTCCTAAACAAAGATCTATCCTCCTAGAAATACAAATCTGAAAGCCGTGGCATCTTCAAAGTAAAATGTCTGCCCCATTGTCTGGCATCAAGGTTTCAGAGATTCCATCGGCTAGTTTCTGTCGCAGCAACCAGTTTCAGAATCACATAAGAGAGTGCAGTAGCCAAGAGCAAGGGCTATGGTGTGAATCCTGCTCTTCCCCTTGTGGGCTTTGTGATCCTAAGCAAGGAACTCTACCTCCCTGAGCCTCAGTTTCCCTCTTTGTAAAATAGGGATAAGGACACTGCCTTCCTCCGAGGGTTATTGAGAGGATATGAAATGATGGGCGTGTAGCCCTTAGCACAGCAGTAGCTCACAGAAAGTGATCAGTGCATTTTAGCCGTCGTCATTATTGGAAAATAACGTGAACATAAACTGTACTTCTGAGTTGTTCTAGGTCACTGTGTGAGGAGTTTGGCGAATAAAGACCTTCCAACTCACTGTCTCTGAAATATTTTTCTTGTGTCTGTTCTTTATGGCTGGATACCTAATCTGTTTTTCCTGGTGTACCTGTTATCCATCCTTAAGATTCAGCAGAGGCAGTACCTCATTCATTCATTGTTCTGACAGTTATCGGGGATCCCACGATGAACCAGACTCAGCCCCTCCTTCAGGGGGTTGGTTCACAGTTTAGTTGGGGAACACAGGTAATGAGCTAATTAGAACACTGTGTGTCATGTAATGGCCACAATTATGGAGAGCCAGGGGACAGTGGGGGCACCGAGGAGGGGACATGATTGCTTGCTCATGTGGGCAAGGTCACAAGTTTGTCTTCTTTCTCTCTTCTTCGTAGAGGAAGTGATGTCAGTCTAAACCGTCCCCAGAGAGCTCTGGACTGGGTCACATCCTGTGACCTCATCTTTACTTTGGACTCTTCCTTAGGGAACAAATGGAACCAAGCCTTAGAGGTCAGTCTAAACCGTCCCCAGAGAGCTCTGGACTGGGTCACAGCCTGTGACCTCATCTTTACTTTGGACTCTTCCTTAGGGAACAAATGGAACCAAGCCTTAGAGGTCTGAGCTCAGCTTTGTTTGGAGGAGTTTAGTCCTCCAGGATGATCTTGTCTGCTGAGACCTAAATGAAACAGCCTCTTTTTGTGCAGAATGGCTGCAAGAAAGCCATCTTCTTAGCATTAAATATGTTCTCAATAGAAAATGAGAAATTAACAAGATTTTACAGAGCAATTTCAGACATAAAACAATTCAAAATGATCTTTTAAAATATGACAGCTGCTTCAAGGTTGCTTGAGCCATTAGCACCATTATAGAGATTTTAATTGCGCCTTGAGCTTTAAAGGCCTAATTGTACCTTTCGATGCTAGCAACACACAAGTGACCTACATTGCCATTGATCACAGGCTGTAGAATTCTGTTTGCGAGGATTGTTAGGCAGAATCCTAATAGATCGCTTGAGCCATAGGAGGTAGGCAATGATATCGGAAGTCATTCTCAGCAGCCCTCACGGGGTCTGCATACTCCCCCACCCAGACTCGATGGTTGCCCAGCCTGGCTGAGGGGCATGAATCAGCATCAGCCAGGTGCTGCACCTCGTCTTAGTCCTGCAGTGAGTAGCCGCCCAAGGGAGAGGGGAGGGGACTTGAGGAAAATTCTTGTCTCCATTCTACCTAATTCAAACCAGCCACAAACAGCCTTTTTTCTTTCTAAGCTGCAGAAATCTATTTCATGTTTAGAAGGCCCTCTAGCTCAGATCTAGTTATTGATGACACGTACTCAAAACACATGCTCAGAGATTGGTCACTGGCTCTGTTGTTTCTGGGTTGGAACTCTTGCCTCCAGCAAAGGAAACCAATAAGGGCCATTCTCTCCTGGCAGCTTGGACCCCCGTGGGTACATAGCAGAGTGGTCTGATGCTTGCTTAGGAGCTACTGTGTGCTGTGTCCTTGGGCATAATTTCTAGTCCTACATGAAACCAGCTGGTAAACTACCTCCTTTCTGCAATCTGCTTTTCTCCTACCTGGCTGGGCCTTGGCAAGTGGCTTGTTTGGCCAGATCACCACTTGTCTCTGTGGTCAAGGTACCTTTCTCTTAAGCACTGAAAGAGACTGCAGCTTCTAAGTTGGTGACATGTGGGTGAGCTGTGCTGCCACCCACGGGAGCTCAAGGAGCCATATTCCTGCAGTCTTTAGAAATGTGTCTTAGATCCTTGGGTCTTAGAGCAGCAGCTTCTTCATGATGCCTCTTCAACAGATGTTTACTGGGTGGCTGCTCTGGCATCCCCAGCCTATAAATCTTACTATCTGGGTAACTTTGAAGACTATAGCAGCTGACACCATAAGAGCTGTGAACAATTCCATATCCTCTCTGAGTAAAGCATGAGGCAGGATGCTTTAGTGAGAACTGGCAGAGAATTGGTATAAAGCTGAACTCTTTTTAATTACTTTCTTGGCTGAAGTGGTGTAAAAGTCATATATATACAAACACAAACACATGCACCTACATACGTCTTATATGTAATATATATGTGTGTGAGTGTGTACGTATGTGCATATGGGTATATCTGTGTGTGCTCATGTATGTATGTATGAAACAAAATGCTCTGCTCTCAACCTGCTCCTTCCTTCCTGCTTTCTGTCTCTGTCCACCCAGGTGAGACCCCCTTCTGTTCACTGATCATACCTTTCTCTTTCTTCTATTCTATCTTGTCTATTCCTATTACCTCTGCTTCCCCCTTTCCTGCTTATCCAAATGCCCATTCTTAAAAACCAGCTCAGGTACAACCTCCTTAATTCCTTCCATCCTTCATTGTGTGAGTGACTGGTTATGCCTTAGTTCCAGCATTGCTTTGTTCTAGGAGTGCATTGCCTGCATTTTTCCTTCGCCACATGGAGTTCTCTGAGGGCAGGGGAGCCTGCTGGTTCAGCCTGGTGTCCCCCTTGGCCTCAGCCCCAAGCTCTTTACATACGGGTTTTGCACAGATGTTGGGTGAGGTTGGGAACGGTGATGGATGATGTCTGTGCCTCCTGGGCTGTGAGATGTCAATCAGTGCTGTTCTGGTCCCATGGTGCTTGCAAGCCACAGAAACATAGTCTGGCTGATCTAAATGGAAAAGAAACTTTTTGAAAGGAAAACAAAAGGTGGCTTATAGATTCTCCAAGAATGCTTAGAAAATAAGTCTTGGAAAATGGCTGGGAGTGAGGGAGGGAGTCAGGGGGCCAGAGTCACACCCGATAAGGACCCCACTGCCACTGTGGCTGCACACATCATCTGTGCCTGTGTAAAATGTCTGTGCTTCATCTTCCTCATCCATAAATTGGAGATGATAATGACAGTGATAGGGGGCCAGAGTCACACCCGATAAGGACCCCACTGCCACTGTGGCTGCACACATCATCTGTGGCTGTGTAAAATGTCTGTGCTTCATCTTCCTCATCCATAAATTGGAGATGATAATGACAGTGACCTGCCTCAGGGGGTTGTGTTGAGGATCAAACACTCAGAAGGATGCCTGGCACACAGTGGCCACAAATATTCAAGCATTCTGGTTTGAAGGTAGGTGTTCCTTCAAAATCCATATGTTGAAACCTAATCACTAAGGTAAGGATATCAGAGGTGGGGCCTTCAGGATGTGATTAGGTGCTGGATCTCCAAGACTAAGGGAGCTTGTTGTCCAAAGGGGCTGTGGAGCAGGACGGGGGGCTGGACCTCAGCCGCTCCTCTGTGGGAAGTCAGAAAGGAGGCTACGGAGTCAGGTGATGAGAGGTTGCAAGAGCCATCAGGAGATTATGGAAACCATGGGGACAGGGAAAATATGCTGGACAGCTTTTGTGGAAAGAGGTCAGCAGTAGAACCCTGGGACCATACACACAGAAGAGGAGGGAGAAAAAGGAGTCATGGAAACCATGGGGACAGGGAAAATATGCTGGACAGCTTTTGTCGAAAGAGGTCAGCAGTAGAACCCTGGGACCATACACACAGAAGAGGAGGGAGAAAAAGGAGTCCAGAGCCAAGTTTGGAGAAAATCCAAGGGAGAGGAATGGTATGGGGCCCAAGACGAGATGGCTGCGGTGAGAGCCCTGGGCCTTTTGGCCCCA